TATTATTATTTAAAAGTGGAAAGATGACAACAACGAGAGGGTAATTATGTGTTTAATTCATTAACTGGGTCATTATTTTTAATCTGGAGGGAAAACTGGATTTAGCATTTGTGGAAGTAAATACACAGTGCATTAAAAACAGGAAATCTTTGGACTAACAATCTAAATTTTGAAATTTAATAAATTTAAAAGAAACAAAATATATACACAGTGAAATAATATTGATATTGATGTTGCTTGCGCATGTTTGATAGTCAGAACAAATTTAATAGAAATTGTTTTCTCATAAAATCATGAACTTCGATAGTGTACTGGATTTTCTCGTAAAATTATAAACTTCAATAAAGCGCGGAATTTATCGATTTTTAATTAACTCGAAAAATTTTGTTAAAAGTGCGACGATCTTGTCTGGAAAAGGCAAGAAATTTAGGTCAACCGTCTTTATTTTATTGTACAAATTCTATCTACAATTTCTCTCTCGATTCGATTACGTAGCTTCAGTTCATAGTAGATTCAGTTCATCTTTAATGTCTAATTGCATGCCAATCAATTAGCAATCGGAAATAATAGCTGAGTACAAGTTTCAGAGAACAGTGTCCGTAAAATCGGTTTAATACTATCAAATTTTCCTCCTAAATATTTCCAAGATTTCAAGGAAATTTCTCTTCGAAATGTTATTAAGAGTTATTTGCGTGCGCATGTGTGTGTGAAACGATCTTCTCTTTCATATAAACAGATTTTATATATTATATATATATTTCTTCATACGTACTATCGTTTTGTGAATCTATGAACATTATGAATTGTGTTCATTTTTCTATCTTGAAATTTTCTACAAATTTCGCACGGGGAATAAAATTATTTCAAAATTTTCTCACTAATAACCAGACTGCAAGTGTTTGTACGAATTCGCATTTTTATCAACACAATTGAAGAAATAAAATCAAAACAAAGATCTTTCTATAGTAGGTTCTATAGTTTGAAATCTTGTGTTTAATATATCCTGTACAGTTTCCATCAAGTTCTCTGTTGTAAACTGAATCAGCCAATACCTACATTACCTCGACGGAAAAAAGAGAAAGGGAAAGGAAAAAGAAAGGGAGAGACGTTGAACAGAAAATAATAGTGGAAATGTACCGCGTTAGGGGAAACCTAAAAACGAGCAGGGGGAAAAACGTTGAATCTCGACACCAAATTTACCTATCACCATTCCATCACACGAATCTAACGAACGATGGGAACAAAAGAAATCGACAATTATCCGAACGATCCCTTCGCTAGCGAAAATTCTCTGCCGGGCTGATTCGCGGTGGCGAAAACAAAAAACTCGCCGCCCTCGTCTCGTCAATGTGCTCCAGATCCAATATACATCCCTGATGTTACCCTCCGAAAAAAAAAACGCGTCCGTTTTCATTTTTCGACGTTCATTCGCCGTTCCTTCGTCGAATCGATCGTTCGTTCTCATATCGAGGAATACGACGATGAGGAATATCCGATGCTCGCTCTCAGAGTTGGCCGCCGATTTTTCCCACGATTCCCCTCTCCTCCCGTTTCCGGAATTCGACTCGTTTCTCAGATCTTCGTCTGCTACTGACTCCGCTGTCTTTGAAATTTATTATAATGCCCGCGCTGGTGTCTCTGCACGCCGGTGGAAATTTTCAAACGTTTCGAGATAGCTCGAAGATTTATCCACGAGTGGAGTTCGATTTTTTTTTCTTTTTTTTTTTTTTTTTTTTTTTTTTT